GCTAATTCCCCAAGTAGAATAAGGTCTTAAACACATCAAATGACACAAATCAAAGTGAGTTTACGGCCCAAGAGAAGCTTAGGCCGTAAACTCCATAAGAACGGACAAAAGTGTGGTTTCAAGACACCTAAAGCCCTAGACCCTTTCATGGAATTGTTTCCTACAAAAATGAGGAACCTATATACAAAAAATCACTCATTCAAAGTGAGTTTACGGCCAAAGAATGTTCTTGGGCCGTAAACTCAAAAGGATGGCACCAAAGTGTGCCTAGGGTTCTCATTAGCTTTAAACAATTGTCTAGAACATATCCCACAAGTGCAAGAGGCTTGAAAGCAACTAGAACCCACATTTCTTAGAGTTTACGGCCGTAAACTCTAAGGGTAATAGCCTTGAGGCCGTAAACTCCTAATTGGAGTACTTCTAGACCTTAAACCCTTCCAAGGACTTAACCACTAAGTTAGAACAATTCTAGAAAGCATTTGGGACTTCAAAACACACCAAACACACATGTTTGGGAGTTTACGGCCGTAAACTCAAGAGTTTACAACCGTAAACTCCATGTGTGATTTTTTATAGAGAGTAACTCAATTATAGGGTCCTTTGGAAACCCTAAAACACAAATACCCTGTCCCACAATAACTTAGATGCAATCCTTATGGCTTAAAATACTTATATAAAGTGTTTATTATGCCTAGGATGTCTTAAACATTATCAATTAGTCATTTAGTCTAATTGAGTACATATATGTGTGATTATATGTTCATTAGGATCGTAGTGTGTGCACAAGTCCTCGCTTGACACCTAGCAATCCGATACCGTTCATTTCATTCCAATCACCAACTACAGGTGAGTTCATACCCCTAATCAATGTTTTAAATGTTTTAAATGCTTTAAAGGGGGGGGAATACAAGTAGAAACAAACATGTTATTAAATCATTATTATGTATTTTATAACAGTGTTTGTCATTTAACAGATTTCACATACTACAAAATGTGATGCATGAAATGGTTTTAAATCTTAAAAACGCATTGTTATCAAATGTTTTACCTTTGAAATGTATATCAAAAATGACATCATGTCATCATTAATTTTCGTTTGAAAACCCATAAGATGTCTTATAAAACCATTTTACATTATTAAACTAAACAATGCATGTACACTTATGTTCTTATATATGTATTGATGTTATAGTTTACAGTTTTCATTTAGTTTCTCACACCCTTGAGTAGTAAGAGTGTATAAACCTACTTGAACAACCAATTGCCTTCCAGCAAACTATCATATGGATAATTTGGAGATATCATTACCTGATACATGAGTACCTTTACAGTTGATTACATGATACATGAGTACGTTTACATATACTTACATGATACATGAATACCATAAATGAATACTGTTACTTAGATACATTATCCTGTACTCACTTACGTGGATATTTGTACCTAAAGTTATTAGGAAGATTTATTCGTACCTTCTGTGTAAATTTTCCTGCCTATCCCAGTTCAATGGGATGTCTATACGGGACTAACCATTCCGGAACCCAGCTGTTAGCAACACTGGGTGATGAACATCTACGGATGTCTAAGGTTGTTTCTGATATTAGAGGTCAGTTACGGAACTAACCATTCCTCCATCCCCTGTTGCAACAGAGGATGAGATGAAACTCTTCGGACGATCATTAGGTTAACGTTTTTATGGGATTAACCCCCCCCTCCACCCTGCTGCTGCTACAGAGGGTGAGTGGACAATCTTCGGATGTTCATCCGGTATACCTATCACTTCGGCGATGTCGTGATAATCCTGGTCACTCAGGGTTAACACTTACATGATTATATTTTTCCTATTTACTTTATTTTGTGATACTTTCACATAAACGAAGAGTTAGACTAAGTACTCTAGTACTAGTCAATAGAAAGGAAAAACTATCATATTACTTACAAAACATTCGGGTCTTGGTAGAAGACTACCTAGTCATTACAAAACATTCGAGTCTTGGTAGAAGGCTACATAGTCATAACAAAACATTCGAGTCTTGGTAGAAGACTACCTAGTCATTACAAAACATTCGAGTCTTGGTAGAAGGCTACATAGTCATAACAAAACATTATCATTTCCCTGTTTACCTTATTTTGTGATTCTTTCACATAAACGATGAGTTAGACTAAGTACTTTAGTACTAAACAATAGAAAGGAAAACTATCATTTTACTTACAAAACATTCGGGTCTTGGTAGAAGACTACACTTCATATGTACAGAACATTCAGGTCTTGGTAGAAGACTGCATTTCATACTTATAGAAAATAAGGGTTTTTCTAGGGTTTTCATACGTACATCAACATCTTCATTTAACGATTTACATGGCCTTTATAACAGATTTTCACAAACAAGGCAATGACACTTATATACTTATGAATTCACCAGCTTTAAAGCTGATACTCGCTTTCAAAATAACTTGTATTCTCAGGTCATCAGTAGACAGGTACGGAGGCCAGGTTTTTGAGAAGACGGAGCAGACAAGTCTCGTCTTTTATTTTGATTGTATATTTTGGTGTCTTACTACAATGAAAGAACACACATGTATCAAAACTTTACTTATAATGCAATGGATGATGTTGTTGCTTGTTTACTTATATTACATTGTTGTGATATTGTACATGACGTCCTCCGCCCCAGAACGTTTCCGCCGTTCCTGGTTTTGGGGTGTTACAGATTGGTATCAGAGCATTGTTTATAGTGAATATAGTATATCAACCCATAAAAGATATACTAACTATAAATACATAAGGGATTAAAAATACTCTGACTAAGAGTTTACACTTTAAATAATAAAATATTTAAGTAAGTATACGTGTTGCATTCATACTAAAATCAGTGTCACTAGGACAGTACAAAAGAATTACGATTGTTGGACAACACAAGTGGGCTTAGAGACATATGGTCAAAACTAGGAAGATATAGCCTGATCACCTATATTATCCGAGAGTTGACTAGTATGTGCCTAAGTATAAGTGTGTGGTTGCAACAATGCAAAAATCTTACCAACCCTACAACAATGAGAACAATAGAACATCACATTAAAATTAAAATACTATATGAGTATTTGTTGTTACTATAAGTACTTTATACTTGAGAACTAAAACGGGATCTTCATTTCTAAGTTGATAGTTGCTAAGTGGATACACTAAGGCTACATGTAATTAGGATGTTATAGACTTAGAATCAGTGATAATTTTGCCTTACCCCTATTCTGTGTGAATGTGGAAATAAGGTCACTTATTCGAAGGTCTATCCTGTTTAGATTACACATAGCTGGTATGCACTTCAGAAATAGCAATGTAACTAATGAAGGTTTTCTAAATAATTATCTAGATAGTTCATCTAATAATTATCCTCATACCCTAAATTCTCGCATATAAAACATAACTGGACTCCATCCCCTCAGCAACCAGTATCTTCCGAATGAAGTCATAGCTGGTTGGTTTGGAGAATAACCAGAGAATGATCATCCTTTTCCCCTTGAATGATCACCATGACGAATACTTTTCGTGTGATGCTAACTCCGAGCCAGAGGTTGAAAACCTACCCCGAGCAGCTCCTTTTTCAAATTCCTAGCCCTCGTCCGACTTTTTCGTGGCCCGACCCTGAGTGAGTGGAATGTTTGGAAACATGGCCAAGGACAAGCTCAGTCTATTCCATTTATTGGCGACCGAAGCTTTTATGACTTGAGCAATGGGGGCTCAACAGATAGAGTCTTGCCAATCTTGGTCCGTAGAGTGGCCCGAAATGAGATTCAAGGCAGGACAGCCCTACATCAGATTACAGAAGTAGTCGCCTATGCTAGAATGCATACCCTCCACCCCATTCATCTAGAAGATGCTCACGGGAAATCAAAAAGAAACCATGAAACCCTGCTGCAAGCACTGGCCGAATCACGAGACGAAGTCATGGAACTTCGAGTACGCCTTAGGGTGTACGAAAGACACTTACTTGTTATGGAACATCAACTGGTTGAACTGA